CAGAAAAAATACAGTATTTTTACCAAGTGAAATCATATATATTTGAGTCATAATCAGACAAATAAAGCCAAAAATGTAGAGAATATAGCAAATTATTCTTCTTATGTAATATCTTGTGTAGTCGGTAATTATGTAAATTATTTATAGGTGCATAGGGAATACATTTCGTTATGAATTATTCTTAATATAAATCTCTGAATTACATTGTCAAAATCATTTTTTTCAAGTTTTTTTTATCTCAAAAAACGAAAGAATTTCACAATGTTGAAAACGGAAAGTCATTATCATAGTGTTACAAGTTCAATTTAAAAATGGATATAACATGAAATGCTGTAGAAAATGAATGGGGGGCAATGATTTTTACCTCCCATTTTGGGTATCCATGTTCTAACATTTCCCCTCGGTGAGTCCCTGGTAATACCACCAGACATCCATTTTTACGATGAACTTTCTCCATGGCTGTCCACGAACAGACGATCCTCTCAGCTGGGCGAAACGGGAAGTAGTACAGGTCTTGGTGCATTGGATGACGGGAACTTTTTGTGCCTATATTCATATAAATGGTATTGCGGTTATGTCGACCTTGTTGTTTAGTACGACTATTTGAAAATGATAAATGTTATTTTTGTAGTTGATTGGCAGCATATTTTGCAAAATGTTCTACTTATGATGAAAAGCCTCATTGAACATTTGTTAAAATAATAAACATACCTGGATCTGGAGGTTTGTTAATCAACATGGTATGCATAGCCATAATATTTGGACCAATGAAAGCTTTAGCGTACTTAGTAACCTGTGGTAACAACCAATTCGTTACTAACAACACAGTTTGATTGATAAAGAACGTGAACGAATGTATGCACAATATACATAAACTAAAACATACTCATACCTCAGGAAGAGCACAATACTCCATCAACTCTGGCACATTTTGAAAGTTTTGAATTTTAGTAATAGCCTTTTTTCCTGCTACAAATTCTGACTTTGCTATCGATACGTCTCTCATTATTGTCAAGCCGAATGGGGCTTTCATTTCTCCAGTGCAGAGAGCTTCAAACACGTTTCTATAAAATAGTGCATATGTTACATTATGGCATAAGTATAGGTATACATGATGTAGCACAGAGAGCCCAGCCCTCCGGCTGGTATCTAGTGCAAGAAATAGACAATGGATGACGGCTCCAGCCAGCTCACATTTTTTAAACTAAAAAAAAACAGACGAAAAGAATGAAAAATAAAATCTAAAAAAATACCAGGTTGAAGAATATTAGACTGGTTACGAACCAGTTGAGCAAGGCTAACCGAGTCGTGACCTCGATGTGGTTCGTAACCAGTCTTGTGATTGGTTGTTGACAAAATGCTGAACAGGCCACGCCGTGCATTCGGGAAAACCTTAATTATTCGTAAATTGAGCCAATTAGTGTAGTCATCTTGATTTATTCTGCAGATATAGTAAAATATAGGTAAGGCTTTGGCGAAATGTGAAAGAGCAACTAATAATCTTCAACCTTGTATTTT